CATATGAGTAGGCATTGAGTGGATGGAATCAGAATTCCCATGTCCTTGTTTGAGTATTTATGTTAATATACTCAGTCTCTCTTTGTCTTCACCCTCCTTCTGCTTTCCAGGCTCCTACAAGTTCTATGTGCAAAAATTCTGACTATCTGGAAAATTAAATGAAAGCCCACAACTGATGCAGACCCTGAGACAGAGCAGTGATCTTCTCAAAGCTTTAAGACAAAGCATTACTGAGACTGTGGGGCAAATCAACACATCCCACTGCACTGGAGATAGAAAATTAAGGAAAGAGACAATTTTAGATTGTATGAGAAAAACATTTTTTCAGGGATATATATAGAGAGAAACTTTGTAGGTCAGCAAAAGATCACTGATTCTCACACAGTGCCCTGACTGCTAGTGGTCTGCCCCTGAACTGGGTACAGCCTGGGTCACTGTATCATATAAACCTTTGAATGATTTACTCTCCTTTTTTATAAAGGTATCTCAAAAGCAATTTTGACATCCAGGCATGTCCAGAACACATTCTGGACATTTGCCAAGCTTGGGCCACCCCAACATGTTCTTTCATTATCTAGAAAACCTGGCCTAATGCTGTCTTGCAGACATAGCTATGGCGTCCATGAGGAGAGAACATGTTCTGCTCTGTGGCCAGCCCAGGCAGGCTCTCATTACACCCCAGCAGAATCATCAAACATCAAAAGGGGAAGTTAGGAGCTTGGAAAGGGTCCAGAAGACTGGCACTAAATGGAATAAATGTTTGAGAAATCATACTCAAGGGGCAAGTTGAAAGGGTCCAGTGTGCTTGCCTGGCTAACAGTTTATGAGGATACAGAAAAGATGCTGGGGCAATGCCTGTCCTAAGTAATGAAGAGGCATCCGTCGGTGCACAGAAGATCCACAAAACAAGAGATAATGGCTTCAGAGGCGACTGTGAGATTTCCAAAGAGGTTTGGGTCTGTCAGCCTTTGAAATGTATGTCCAAAGGATATTACAGATGGCCTTTTCCTAACCCTTCCCCAAGATCAAGGATAATCAGAGATAATCCAGTTTAGAAAGATCAACTAGCCTCAGGGAGAAGGTGAAGTTTCATTTCAACACGTAGGTCACTGTTATTGTGATGTGATTCTGTGATATGATGTGATCACCACTCTGGGACTCTCTGATTTGACATGGGATGTGTTACCTAACAAATGTGAAGTGTGTACCTTCGTGAGTGACTAAGTGTATGAGTGTGAGCGAGTATGTATGTGTATATGTGAGTATGTGAGAGTTTGGGGGTATAAGGGAGCATAAGTGCATATTAATGTGAGTGTGTGTGTACACGTGCACGCATGTGTGTGTGGATGCACCCATGTGTGTACTGCGTGCATATGTATGTATAGTGGAGGGTGTGGTGTTCATCTCCTTCCTTCCCTGGAAAACAAATATAAACATTCTTTGGGAACCTTTTTCCAAGGAGACCTGGCACTTCTGTTCAGAGACACACCCTCGCTGCTCCATTCTTGAAAGAAAGCATGGCCTTCACGTGGCCAGGGGCATTAACTGCTGTCCTATCACCTGCTGTGACAAGACCACAAATGGTTTCATTGCCAGTGGAATGGGGGTCACATTCCAAGAGGTAGGCTTGATCTCAGCCGAATCAGAGGAATGACATGAACTTCATTTTCTACTGTCTATAAAAGTGGTCACACCCCTTTCTTCTGAACACATCTTTCTACTTTACTACAGAAGGGAAAAAGGGAAAGTTACATGTACTCCAAGTCCCATATGACTTCTAGACAGTTTTACTTTTATAACTAAGGAAAGGAGAACAGGTTTTTTTTTTCACAGTAGGCACAGAAATTTGGTTTAATTTCCAAAGATCTACATTCAGACAAATGCCAAAAATCCGTGGGCACGTGGCAAGAAAATTCCAAGCGGATGTCCTGCCTCTTGTCTAGTCTACTTATTCTGGAGTGAATTAACAAAGAAAAAAAAATGGGTTTTCATTTCTCTGAGTTTCAAAGATTATACTCTAAATGCTTCTTTCCTGAGCTTTCCATTTTCTCCTACATATTTGAAGCTTCCAGTCAGATAAGATTATGTATTTCTACAAATCTTGTGTCTGCTGTAGTTACCTGAGACCAAAAGATTGCAAAATCAAGCAAAAGCTATCTTGACTTTGTTGATACACAAATGCAGATAGTGGACAGTCACTGTTGGCTCTAGGCTCCCTGAAGCTCAGTCTGTCTCTAGATTCTTTGGGGGTGAATAATCATTACTGGCCTAGGCCTGGAGGGCCACTGTGGGCACCTCAGTATTTTCCTGCCGAAGCAGTATCAGGCACTTCCATATACCCTTCTGCAACACCTCTTAGAAAGCTCCTACCATGACATGTAATGACAAGTCAAAAATTTTTACTGAGGAAATGGAAAAGAGATCGGATACAAACAAAGGATCTGAATGAAAGAAAACACAGTGCCTTCTCTATGAAAGGTAATGTCCCTTAATGTGGCTGAAATGGCATGGGCGTCCTAAAGCCAGCTTCCTCAGCTCATTAGCACCCATTGGAATTATTTTAGGGATTAGTGATTGCTTTTGTTTGTTTTAAAGAGATCAAGTGGTTGTCCATGGTTTCCTAATAAGAGGTGGATCCATCTCTTATTACACATTCTGTGATTAAATAATTACTGGGAATCCAGGTATTTGAAAAACTGCTTAAGAAGTGAGCAAGGGGACTGTTTGTTGGATAAAGCTGATGTTGCATATCCTAGTTGGTGTCTGAATATTCTCTCTTACAGGCAACAAGTCAACACTGCCTTGGGTTACTGAACAAAGGCAGTGTCATCACCACAACAAAGGGTTGTTACTTAGACATCTCAGTCAAGAGCCTGAGAACAAGGTGAGAAGAGATCTGCAAAAGGTAGCCATAGACTTTAGGGCTAAGTCATAGGAATGTAAAGCAAGGTTGTTCTCAGCCAAGTTTACTTCTTTAGTACAGGAACAGGCAAACATTACAAATACTAGTTCAAAGCTCTAACAGCCCATCTAGATATGGATGTGTGCCAGAATTTCTGCTGGTTGGGGCTTTCTCGCTTTGCTATATTTTGAAGAATAAAGAGTATCCCATCAGGTAAACCAAGAGCTGATAATGCAAAGGCCCAAAGATCATGTCTCGTTTTTATCCCAGAAGTTTATCCCAGGAAACTGCTTTCATTTTAACCCAGGGACCCTTTCATTTAAAGGGGTTTAGGATGAAAGAACTATAAAGATAATTAGGAAAAAAAAGCAAAACAAAACAAAGAACACAAAACCTCTCCGTGATACTGAGGGTAATGTAACAGCAAGGTACATGTCCTTGGAAAATCAATTATATTAATGAAACCTTCTGACAGCTAAATTTCCCTCCTTTCTGGATTCAATTTTTAAAATGTTAAATATTGATAAATGGAATTTTTGAAATAGCCTTAAATCAACTAAGAAACTAACTTTATTTTAGTGAGGTTAATTACGTTATTTATTTATTAATTCATTGTCTTATTGTTTCCACTTTTTTTTTTCGCTCCAAAAGTGTTTGAGCTGGATACATTTAGTTATGAAAGCATTTAACATTTTAAATTAAGACACAAGGAATTCTAAATGACACTTGAGATGCCCCTTGAGAGAAGCCTCTCATCTCTCGTGTTTATAGAGAACTCATATATTCATAAATCAAATGCTGTGCACATTTAAGCCAGACCAAAATACTAAAAAAGCACCGTGTCTCCCACTAGAAAAAAAAACTGCAATATTCTGCTTAGTTGTGTTTTTAAAATAGCTTGACATTTTAAATAATTGATGAATATGTAATTTGCTAATCGGTAACGGGCAGTTCCCATAGAGGTACCATCGCTAGTTTTATAGTTTACTATTTCAGAAGAGCTTTATGAATGCAAAGATTAAAGCTGGGACGTGGAGAGAGAAATCACTCCAGGACATTATCCTATTTAACACCCATAATACTTAACAGTAACAACAATTAAGCTTCACAAATGAAGTCAATGTACTGAATTTCTATTGGGTGAGTTATAGATAGACATTTACGTGTTGTGATTACTGATTACTCCCCAGAGACAACCATGTGCCCAAATGAACATCAGAGCAACATACTGTTAATGTAAAGGATTAAATGATATTTTAGTTTATGCTTTTATTTCTCGTCTCTTTTCTCCAAGCCATAATAGAGATCTTATTTACCATGCATGAACACTTAACATCCTCTTTCTGAGAACATTTCTGATGTTGTTGGTATAAGAGAGGAAAGTCACTTATTTAAAGATCGCCTTATTAATCTACAGTTTTTGGTAAGTACCTAGATTATCTGGTCGGTCAGTTTGTCTTTATAGCCTAAGAAAACTAGCTGCCATGTTCAGTCCAGATGAGTTGGTATTTGAATATTTATAAGGACATCGATATTCACAGTGTCTTACAATCATGCTCCAAGCTAAATAGAAATAAAAGCAAAATGGCCACAAATATTACAGTATAATAGGATAAGAGCTGAAAGATATGTACAAATTCATTGACAACATCTGTGCAAGTGTTATAGACAAAACATTTAAAAAGAAATCTACATAAAACAAAGTAGATAAATTTATCAAATGTTGATAAATTTTCAGAGACAGTATAAAAGTACACAAAACATGGAAGAGAGAAAGAATTTTTCAAAAAAAATAACCACCAAGCCAATACATAGAATACAAATTTACTACATTAATATTACAGAATGATGGGAACCAGAGACAAAAACGATTTGGTAACAAACAGCAAAGAAAGTTTCACCAGTCACAGAGAAGAAAGACTTTCCCTTTCAGATGAGAACACAGACTGCCACAACTCACCCCCTCCACCCACACACACAGAGAAAAAGAAAAGCAAACGCAAGAGTTGTCTACAGCAACACATGACAGACAGAGGTGGAAGCGTCTGGCATGTTGCATCACACGAAGTCAATCACGATTGGCTAACGATGATGGTACCTGGCTCTGTTGCAGGTCACTGGCTTGCCTGAGAGGAGTAACTGACGGAGGGGGCACACCTGATGTGGACGCAGACCGGCCTAATTTGCAGCTTACTTTCGGCTCTGTGAACAGGGGGAAAGGCAGAGGGTTAGCTGAATCTGCAGTGAGGATCAGCTTTCAGACTCCCGTTTTGTTTTGCTGCACCCTCTTTCAGTGCATCGAATACTCCCGATGCTTGCTAGCAATTGGCAGGTCATGAAACAACCAACTGGAAAACAAGCTTTATTTGCACTCAGCTCCTGGAAATAAAGAACAAGTCATGGAAGCAAAGGCTTTGTTCCTTTGGATATTTCACCTCATTCAGGGTTAGTTTCTATAGCGTGATTACTAGAGCAAGAGCCCCATTCAGGAAAAAAGCAAATGACATGAACATTTCAACTGCCTTCTTTTCAGCGCTGGTCTAGAGGTGTTGAAATGTCTTTTCTACCTGTCCGAAAATATTTCCTCCCTCCCTCCCTTCCTTTCTCTCTCTCTCTTTTTTTTTCCCCTTCTAATTTCAAAATCTATAACCTTGGGTTTGTGCTGAAAGGTGGCATTTCTCTAATTTATCTCTATGAACTTTCAAGTTTATAACTGTCTTCTAAGACTTCTGGCATTTTTCATCATACCAGTATTTTTCCAAGTTATAAAAACATTTTCCTAACTCTTCCTTGATTTCAGGAGCTCAAATGAGCTGCATAGGCCATTGATGGGATACTTTGGAGATGAGAATTTGGGAATGGAAGAGTTCCTTTGGAATAGAGAGGATGCTAATTTTAATGTTAATGTATCTGAAGATATTTGAGAAGAAAATATTTTTGTCACAGACTTTTATATTGGCTGTCACTTTTTGAGTGCCAGGTATATTCTAGCTTCAGTCTGGGCTACATTTAAATTATCTCTAATCCTAAAGATATTCTATAGAGTTACACAGCTAGAAAAGCTGCCAATTTATACATATACTTACATATATATGGATATATTGGAAACCTCCTTGCCTATCCCCATAATCTCTCTGCTCAAAAGTAACTCAGACACCATTGTCCTGGGCTGACTTTCCTAGATTACTTTGAAGCAATCCACCTTATTCCAAGTTTTCCAATGATTCCATATTTCATATGATAGAAACTTCAAACCCTCTTGACTAATTTTCAAAGGCCTCCAGTGATCTGATCAGATCCACTCTATTTTCACTGTTCTCTTCAGAGCACATGCTTCCCTCTCAGTTTCTTCATTTGATCTTTCTTCCATCCTTCACCTCAGGGTGTGCCCTTGTGTGGACTTCTATCAGACTAAGTCTTACCATTTTCGAAGACCAACTTCAGCAAGTGCTTCCTACTGCGAAGCATCCTGATTCTCCCTTCTGAAACTTCCCTAGAGCTTATACAGTGCTTGTAATGCTTGCTGTGGCTTTGAGCATTTACGTTAGTGTGGACCGCATAGTAAGTGTTCAATCAGTATGCACTTTTCTTTCAGTGAAGACACTCAGTTTAACCTAGAAAAGGTCGATGCAACTGCTAAAAAGAAATTGAGGCAATGAAAGTAACATACAGTATGTTTTAAAGCCTGAGTTCAAGGCCTGACTCCCCTACTTATAAAGGCAGTGATTCTCATTCAAAGGGTTTGTGACTTTCTAGGGTCTATTTCAGAAGAGGCATGTAGTTTGGAAACTCTCCCCAACTTACTTTTATGCAGATGATTCTAGTATCTACTCAACCGCTTTTGAAAGGTGTTTAAATATAACAGTATTATATACGATGACATAAACTATCACTGTAACTTAGAAATTAATCTCATTTCCCAGGAGGCATAAATCCTTGCATACCCTAGTAAATCATCTTTTGTCATATCAAATAACAGACAAAGCATCCATCCCAATCCTGGTTAACATGTATTTAGAGTGGGGCCAATGTTTCCATATAACCCTTTACTATGGTAGCACATTTAGTCACATGGAGTCAGAAAATTCACTACTTTTTTTTTCCCTAGGAAAGGATGGCAAATAATATCTCTTTACTTAAAGTCCTTTTCAAGTTTATATTAAAGAGATTATCTGATGAGTGACATAGTTCAAAGCCTTTTATATTATCCAGTATACCTATGGATTAATTTCTCCTGCTAGGTTTCCACCCAGATTCTGACTTAACCAGCCTCTTTGAAACATGGACACTGATATCTCTAATGAACAGACTGAGCTGTACCAAAATCCAGGCAAACTCCCCATTTCATCATGACCTGAAAAGGCCTGGCCTTACCCCCATTGAACATCAATCCAGAGCATACCTGAGCTCATAAAGCCCCTTAGGTACTGCAATATAAACCACTAAATCCACTTTACACACAGTGGTTTATGCTGCTAGCCAACTACCCTGGGGGCTAGCTCTAAGGTGAGGTCACACTGGAGTCAACTGTTCAATCTCAAGGGTCATATGGGTCATGATTCTACCTGCAGCAGCAGACTAACATTGTGATCATAAAGCCATTATGTCCATGTGCTTACACAAATACACACATATGCACACTATGTAACATTACTCTGCTTAATGGTGTCATGTTGTAGGGACATTATTAAAATTGTGAAGTTTTGGTTTATCTTTATCTCACTCATTTTAGCTCTTTGCTCTTCTTTCAGTTTTACATGGTCCTTATATGCATTTCAAGTTTATTATATTATGAAGTGTATAAGACCAGGTTGGTGGTCTTTATGATGTTGCATCCACCAAGGTTCCCTTGACCAAAAGAGTTGTCTGAAGAAGTCCCCAAAATCCTAGAAAAGTGTCTGATTAAAACAACGTCTTATAGAGATTCTTTAGAGGTATAACACTGAGGTTAAATTGTCCAACACACTTGCCATTGGAAATACGGTGAGCTTTGAGCCTTAAACGGATACTTAGGAGCCATGACACTAAAAACAGTAAAGTTTCATCCTGAATTTTGCTAATATAAAAATTGCCAAGGTTTTGGGGGGGGTTAAAAACAATGGACATGTTCTGCAAAAGAGATCTAAGGTAGAACTTTCCTCCCCCAAGAAAACTCATTCCATTCCATTCCATTAAGATTAATGATGAACTAAAAGGCTCCTGTCATTCCCACATCCAAGGAAACACCTCTTGTTTTGTAAGCGCTATTATTAATCATCATCCTAGAAGTACTAGTGATGTTGTTTATGAAATTTCAATGAAGGTCAAGAGCAAAGAGAAGAAAAAAGAATAAGAAAAAGGTATTAGATTAAGGAAGAAAGAGAATCAGAAGGGAAAAGGAAGAATAGGAAAAGAAGCAGGGGAGGCAGGAAGGAAGAGAGGAAAGATAAAGAGAAAGGAAGGAAGGAAGAAAAGAAGGAAGGAAGGAAGGAAGGAAGGAAGGGAGGGAGGAAGGAAGGAAGGGAGGAAGGAAACAAGAGGGAAAGTAAAAGCAAAGGAAACAAGAGGGAAAGAAAAAGCAAAGGAAATAAAAAGGAAAGTACAAAGAAAAGGAAAAGAAAAGAGAGGCCAATTTTGACTTCTTGGAATAAACCATTATCAAGATATTATCATGAAATGTTTCCCAAGTAATACCTCACGATCATCTTAAAGTTTTTACACAGTGAACTGTATGAATTAATATTTCTTTGCTTTTATTCTTATTGGATTCAATTTATCACTGTTTTGTTTTGTTTTAGAGATAGTCGTTCCTCAATCACTTCTCATCTTCCCTTTAAGGTGAATTGTATTTCTCTTCAAAATCATGTCCTTAGTAGTGTTACAGAATAATTTCCAGGGCATCCACTGCTATTATTGTGAGTATTGGAGTTCTCTTCGCTTTCAGAGCAAAGACAAATGATTCTTCTCAACTCCTGTATCTACACAGCAACAGGAGATTAGGGCATTTTCACCAAAGAAAACACTTTCATCTAGCATCAAAGAAATAAAATCAGTCAAATTCAGAAACATATCTTTCCTCTATCATAGTTTCTTTCCCTATTACACAATATTTTTCTCTAGTAGCAGAAGTATGTCATGATTCCCCCAAGCCATGTTGCTGAAAGTTTCTAAATGAAGGACTCAAGGCTATATGAAAGTCACAAAGAGGCCTCTTTAAAATACACAAAAGTATGGTTATTACAAATCTATTTTTCATTTCGAAGGAAGGCATTTTCTGGAATTAACGCATATGCTCTCTGAGGTAAACTGGTATTTAAGTAATAAGTGGTGGTTTGGGGAAAACTATATTAAAACCTTCATGGATCCCACTTTGTTTAAAAGCTTCTACCACTCATCACAGGAAACGTATAAGATGCCCTCAAGTCCCATGTTAAATGTAATTTGTCCTGTTTATAATTTGCATGTATTCTTATAATTTTGCTTCAGAAATGATTGGACTGTGAGTAATCCAATTCATTCATGAGTGGCTATGATTTCTAGACATTCATTAAGCATACTCAGGAATTCTTGCAGTATTACACAGTCTAATCTAGAAATTGTTCTCAAATGTAATAGAATTGTTTTTTTTTAATTTATTTTTAAATTTTCTTTAAATCCAAGTTAGTTAACCATTCGTGTAATGGTGGTTTCAGGAATAAAATTTAGTGATTCATCACTTACATATAACACCCAGTGCTCATCCCAGTGAGTGGCCTCCTTAATGCCCATCACCTATTTAGCCCATCTGCCACCCAACACCCCACCAGCAACCCTTAATTTGTTCTCCGTATTTAAGTGTCTCTTATGGTTTGCCTCCTTCTCTGTTTTTATCTTATTTTTTCTTCCATTTCCTTATGTTCATCTGTTTTAGTTTTTTAAATTCCACATGACTGAAATCATATTTGTCTTTCTCTGACTTATTTTGCTTAGCGTAGCACACTCTAGCTCCATCCACATCATTGCAAATGGCAAGATTTCATTCTTTTTGATCTCCAAGGAACTATAATAGATTTGTTTTAATACTAAATTTAACAATTAAGTGGACCTAATGCCATACCTTGCTTTAATTAAATATTCATTAATGTTAATCTGGCAGCTTCTTTTGGAATTTGGTGCTACCATTTTAGTTTTAATATCCAGTATTTTTGTAGGTCCCTGAGGAACTCAAAGTCCCAACATCATCA